TATTTTCATGGAAATCCCTGTTTTTAACCTGAAATATCACTGATTTTCATGCAAATCCCTGTTTTTAACCCTAAAATATCGCTTATTTTCATAGAAATCCCTGTTTTTCCCCTAAAATATCGCTTATTTTCATCGAAATCCCTGTTTTTAACCCTAAAATATCGCTTATTTTCATGGAAATCCCTGCTTTTCCCCTAAAATATCGCTTATTTTCATAGAAATCCCTGTCTTTCACCCTAAAATATCGCTTATTTTCATAGAAATCCCTGTTTTTAACCCTAAAATATCGCTTATTTTCATAGAAATCCCTGTTTTTCCCCTAAAATATCGCTTATTTTCATAGAAATCCCTGTTTTTAACCCTAAAATATCGCTTATTTTCACAGAAATCCCTGTTTTTCCCCTAAAATATCGCTTATTTTCATAGAAATCCCTGTTTTTCCCCTAAAATATCGCTTATTTTCATGGAAATCCCTGTTTTTAACCCTAAAATATCGCTTATTTTCATGGAAATCCCTGTTTTTCCCCTAAAATATCGCTTATTTTCATAGAAATCCCTGTTTTTAACCTTAAAATATCGCTTATTTTCATGGAAATCCCTGCTTTTAACCCTAAAATATCGCTTATTTTCATAGAAATCCCTGTTTTTCACCCTAAAATATCGCTTATTTTCATGGAAATCCCTGTTTTTAACATAAAATATCGCTTATTTTCATGGAAATCCCTGTTTTTCCCCTAAAATATCGCTTATTTTCATAGAAATCCCTGTTTTTAACCCTAAAATATCGCTTATTTTCATAGAAATCCCTGTTTTTCCCCTAAAATATCGCTTATTTTCATGGAAATCCCTGTTTTTCCCCTAAAATATCGCTTATTTTCATAGAAATCCCTGTTTTTCCCCTAAAATATCGCTTATTTTCATGGAAATCCCTGTTTTTAACCCTGAAATATCACTTATTTTCATGCAAATCCCTGTTTTTAACCCTAAAATATCGCTTATTTTCATAGAAATCCCTGTTTTTCCCCTAAAATATCGCTTATTTTCATGGAAATCCCTGTTTTTAACCCTAAAATATCGCTTATTTTCACAGAATCCCTGTTTTTATCCCTAAAATATCGCTTATTTTCATAGAAATCCCTGCTTTTAACCCTAAAATATCGCTTATTTTCATGGAAATCCCTGTTTTTCCCCTAAAATATCGCTTATTTTCATAGAAATCCCTGTTTTTCCCCTAAAATATCGCTTATTTTCATGGAAATCCCTGTTTTTAACCCTAAAATATCGCTTATTTTCATGGAAATCCCTGTTTTTCCCCTAAAATATCGCTTATTTTCACAGAAATCCCTGTTTTTAACATAAAATATCGCTTATTTTCATATGGAAATCCCTGCTTTTAACCCTAAAATATCGCTTATTTTCATAGAAATCCCTGTTTTTCCCCTAAAATATCGCTTATTTTCATGGAAATCCCTGTTTTTAACCCTAAAATATCGCTTATTTTCATAGAAATCCCTGTTTTTAACCCTAAAATATCGCTTATTTTCATGGAAATCCCTGCTTTTCCCCTAAAATATCGCTTATTTTCATAGAAATCCCTGTTTTTCCCCTAAAATATCGCTTATTTTCATAGAAATCCCTGTTTTTCCCCTAAAATATCGCTTATTTTCACGGAAATCCCTGTTTTTAACCCCTAAAATATCGCTTATTTTCATGGAAATCCCTGTTTTTCCCCTAAAATATCGCTTATTTTCATGGAAATCCCTGTTTTTCCCCTTAAAATATCGCTTATTTTCATGGAAATCCCTGTTTTTCCCCTAAAATATCGCTTATTTTCATAGAAATCCCTGTTTTTCCCCTAAAATATCGCTTATTTTCATCGAAATCCCTGTTTTTCCCCTAAAATATCGCTTATTTTCATGGAAATCCCTGTTTTTAACCCTAAAATATCGCTTATTTTCATAGAAATCCCTGTTTTTAACCCTAAAATATCGCTTATTTTCATGGAAATCCCTGTTTTTCCCCTAAAATATCGCTTATTTTCATAGAAATCCCTGTTTTTCCCCTAAAATATCGCTTATTTTCATAGAAATCCCTGTTTTTCCCCTAAAATATCGCTTATTTTCATAGAAATCCCTGTTTTAACCCTGAAATATCGCTTATTTTCATAGAAATCCCTGTTTTTAACCCTAAAATATCGCTTATTTTCATGGAAATCCCTGTTTTTCCCCTAAAATATCGCTTATTTTCATAGAAATCCCTGTTTTTCCCCTAAAATATCGCTTATTTTCATGGAAATCCCTGTTTTTCCCCTAAAATATCGCTTATTTTCATAGAAATCCCTGTTTTTCCCCTAAAATATCGCTTATTTTCATGGAAATCCCTGTTTTTCCCCTAAAATATCGCTTATTTTCATCGAAATCCCTGTTTTTCCCCTAAAATATCGCTTATTTTCACAGAAATCCCTGTTTTTAACCTAAAATATCGCTTATTTTCATGGAAATCCCTGTTTTTCCCCTAAAATATCGCCTTATTTTCATAGAAATCTCTGTTTTTCCCCTAAAATATCCCTTATTTTCATAGAAATCCCTGTTTTTCCCCTAAAATATCGCTTATTTTCATAGAAATCCCTGCTTTTAACCCTAAAATATCGCTTATTTTCATGGAAATCCCTGTTTTTCCCCTAAAATATCGCTTATTTTCATAGAAATCCCTGTTTTTAACCCTAAAATATCGCTTATTTTCATAGAAATCCCTGTTTTTCCCCTAAAATATCGCTTATTTTCATAGAAATCCCTGTTTTTAACCCTAAAATATCGCTTATTTTCATGGAAATCCCTGTTTTTCCCCTAAAATATCGCTTATTTTCACAGAAATCCCTGTTTTTAACCCTAAAATATCGCTTATTTTCATGGAAATCCCTGCTTTTAACCCTAAAATATCGCTTATTTTCATAGAAATCCCTGCTTTTAACATAAAATATCGCTTATTTTCATAGAAATCCCTGCTTTTCCTCTAAAATATCGCTTATTTTCATAGAAATCCCTGTTTTTAACCTAAAATATCGCTTATTTTCATGGAAATCCCTGTTTTTAACCTAAAATATCGCTTATTTTCATAGAAATCCCTGTTTTTAACCCTAAAATATAGCTTATTTTCATAGAAATCCCTGTTTTTCCCCTAAAATATCGCTTATTTTCATAGAAATCCCTGTTTTTAACCTAAAATATCGCTTATTTTTATGGAAATCCCTGCTTTTAACCCTAAAATATCGCTTATTTTCACAGAATTCCCTGTTTTTATCCCTAAAATATCGCTTATATTCATGGAAATCCCTGCTTTTAACCCTAAAATATCGCTTATTTTCATGGAAATCCCTGTTTTTAACCTAAAATATCGCTTATTTTCATAGAAATCCCTGTTTTTAACCTAAAATATCGCTTATTTTCATAGAAATCCCGGTTTTTAACACTAAAATATCGCTTATTTTCATGGAAATCCCTGTTTTTCCCCTAAAATATCGCTTATTTTCACAGAAATCCCTGTTTTTAACATAAAATATCGCTTATTTTTATGGAAATCCCTGCTTTTAACCCTAAAATATCGCTTATTTTCATAGAAATCCCTGTTTATCACCCTAAAATATCGCTTATTTTCATAGAAATCCCTGTTTTTAACCCTAAAATATCGCTTATTTTCATGGAAATCCCTGTTTTTAACCCTAAAATATCGCTTATTTTCATAGAAATCCCTGTTTTTAACCCTAAAATATCGCTTATTTTCATGGAAATCCCTGCTTTTCCCCTAAAATATCCCTTATTTTCATAGAAATCCATGTTTTTCCCCTAAAATATCGCTTATTTTCATAGAAATCCCTGTTTTTCCCCTAAAATATCGCTTATTTTCATGGAAATCCCTGTTTTTAACCCTAAAATATCGCTTATTTTCATAGAAATCCCTGTTTTTAACCCTAAAATATCGCTTATTTTCATAGAAATCCCTGTTTTTCCCCTAAAATATCGCTTATTTTCATCGAAATCCCTGTTTTTAACCCTAAAATATCGCTTATTTTCATGGAAATCCCTGTTTTTAACCCTGAAATATCACTGATTTTCATGCAAATCCCTGTTTTTAACCCTAAAATATCGCTTATTTTCATAGAAATCCCTGTTTTTCCCCTAAAATATCGCTTATTTTCATCGAAATCCCTGTTTTTCCCCTAAAATATCGCTTATTTTCATGGAAATCCCTGCTTTTCCCCTAAAATATCGCTTATTTTCATCGAAATCCCTGTCTTTCACCCTAAAATATCGCTTATTTTCATAGAAATCCCTGTTTTTCCCCTAAAATATCGCTTATTTTCATCGAAATCCCTGTTTATCACCCTAAAATATCGCTTATTTTCATAGAAATCCCTGTTTTTAACATAAAATATCGCTTATTTTCATGGAAATCCCTGTTTTTCCTCTAAAATATCGCTTATTTTCATAGAAATCCCTGTTTTTCCCCTAAAATATCGCTTATTTTCATGGAAATCCCTGTTTTTAACCCTAAAATATCGCTTATTTTCATGGAAATCCCTGTTTTTCCCCTAAAATATCGCTTATTTTCACAGAAATCCCTGTTTTTAACATAAAATATCGCTTATTTTTACAGAAATCCCTGCTTTTAACCCTAAAATATCGCTTATTTTCATAGAAATCCCTGTTTTTAACATAAAATATCGCTTATTTTCATAGAAATCCCTGTTTTTAACATAAAATATCGCTTATTTTCATGGAAATCCCTGTTTTTCCTCTAAAATATCGCTTATTTTCATAGAAATCCCTGTTTTTAACCCTAAAATATCGCTTATTTTCATGGAAATCCCTGCTTTTCCCCTAAAATATCCCTTATTTTCATAGAAATCCATGTTTTTCCCCTAAAATATCGCTTATTTTCATAGAAATCCCTGTTTTTCCCCTAAAATATCGCTTATTTTCACAGAAATCCCTGTTTTTAACCCTAAAATATCGCTTATTTTCATCGAAATCCCTGTTTTTAACCCTAAAATATCGCTTATTTTCATAGAAATCCCTGTTTTTCCCCTAAAATATCGCTTATTTTCATCGAAATCCCTGTTTTTAACCCTAAAATATCGCTTATTTTCATGGAAATCCCTGTTTTTAACCCTGAAATATCACTGATTTTCATGCAAATCCCTGTTTTTAACCCTAAAATATCGCTTATTTTCATAGAAATCCCTGTTTTTCCCCTAAAATATCGCTTATTTTCATCGAAATCCCTGTTTTTAACCCTAAAATATCGCTTATTTTCACAGAATTCCCTGTTTTTATCCCTAAAATATCGCTTATATTCATGGAAATCCCTGCTTTTAACCCTAAAATATCGCTTATTTTCATGGAAATCCCTGTTTTTCCCCTAAAATATCGCTTATTTTCATAGAAATCCCTGTTTTTCCCCTAAAATATCGCTTATTTTCATGGAAATCCCTGTTTTTAACCCTAAAATATCACTTATTTTCATGGAAATCCCTGTTTTTCCCCTAAAATATCGCTTATTTTCACAGAAATCCCTGTTTTTAACATAAAATATCGCTTATTTTTATGGAAATCCCTGCTTTTAACCCTAAAATATCGCTTATTTTCATAGAAATCCCTGTTTTTAACATAAAATATCGCTTATTTTCATGGAAATCCCTGTTTTTCCTCTAAAATATCGCTTATTTTCATAGAAATCCCTGTTTTTAACCCTAAAATATCGCTTATTTTCATGGAAATCCCTGTTTTCCCCTAAAATATCCCTTATTTTCATAGAAATCCATGTTTTTCCCCTAAAATATCGCTTATTTTCATAGAAATCCCTGCTTTTCCCCTAAAATATCGCTTATTTTCATGGAAATCCCTGTTTTTAACCCTAAAATATCGCTTATTTTCATAGAAATCCCTGTTTTTAACCCTAAAATATCGCTTATTTTCATAGAAATCCCTGTTTTTCCCCTAAAATATCGCTTATTTTCATCGAAATCCCTGTTTTTAACCCTAAAATATCGCTTATTTTCATGGAAATCCCTGTTTTTAACCCTGAAATATCACTGATTTTCATGCAAATCCCTGTTTTTAACCCTAAAATATCGCTTATTTTCATAGAAATCCCTGTTTTTCCCCTAAAATATCGCTTATTTTTATGGAAATCCCTGCTTTTAACCCTAAAATATCGCTTATTTTCACAGAATTCCCTGTTTTTATCCCTAAAATATCGCTTATATTCATGGAAATCCCTGCTTTTAACCCTAAAATATCGCTTATTTTCATGGAAATCCCTGTTTTTCCCCTAAAATATCGCTTATTTTCATAGAAATCCCTGTTTTTCCCCTAAAATATCGCTTATTTTCATAGAAATCCCTGTTTTTAACATAAAATATTGCTTATTTTCATGGAAATCCCTGTTTTTCCCCTAAAATATCACTTATTTTCACAGAAATCCCTGTTTTTAACATAAAATATCGCTTATTTTTATGGAAATCCCTGCTTTTAACCCTAAAATATCGCTTATTTTCATAGAAATCCCTGTTTATCACCCTAAAATATCGCTTATTTTCATAGAAATCCCTGTTTTTAACCCTAAAATATCGCTTATTTTCATGGAAATCCCTGTTTTTCCTCTAAAATATCGCTTATTTTCATAGAAATCCCTGTTTTTAACCTAAAATATCGCTTATTTTCAAAGAAATCCCTGCTTTTCCCCTAAAATATCCCTTATTTTCATAGAAATCCATGTTTTTCCCCTAAAATATCGCTTATTTTCATAGAAATCCCTGTTTTTCCCCTAAAATATCGCTTATTTTCATAGAAATCCCTGTTTTTAACCCTAAAATATCGCTTATTTTCATAGAAATCCCTGTTTATCACCCTAAAATATCGCTTATTTTCATAGAAATCCCTGTTTTTAACATAAAATATCGCTTATTTTCATGGAAATCCCTGTTTTTCCTCTAAAATATCGCTTATTTTCATAGAAATCCCCGTTTTTAACCCTAAAATATCGCTTATTTTCATGGAAATCCCTGCTTTTCCCCTAAAATATCCCTTATTTTCATAGAAATCCATGTTTTTCCCCTAAAATATCGCTTATTTTCATAGAAATCCCTGTTTTTCCCCTAAAATATCGCTTATTTTCATGGAAATCCCTGTTTTTAACCCTAAAATATCGCTTATTTTCATCGAAATCCCTGTTTTTAACCCTAAAATATCGCTTATTTTCATAGAAATCCCTGTTTTTCCCCTAAAATATCGCTTATTTTCATCGAAATCCCTGTTTTTAACCCTAAAATATCGCTTATTT